TCTGACATTTAATTCCGGATTCCCAATTACACCAACATGGTTAAATTGTTATAATTCTTTGCGACTAATCAGCCCAGCCCCGTCATGCTTTGTTCTTAATTTTCTTGTATCAGTGTCGTCTTTAGTCGCCTCATTGATACCTACCTTCCAGACTTCCTAAAGAGTATGCCATATGGGCGACAAAATATGAATTCTTTCATTCAATTTTTTTGCGCATACATTGAATGTTTTTTACGACATAACTAATCAATTAGTTAGATTTACATTTCTGACTTACAATTTGTTAAATAAGGAAATTGATTTTTTGCTTCTTCATTTATCTACTACGCACTTGATTAAATATGTTTTAACCTCGTTTTTGAGTTTTTCTTCGTTAAATGAACTAATGCGAATTGTTTACTAATGCCTATTATTCAGGCGGAAAATAATACTTTGCAAGGCATTAAACATAGTATCTTATCACAAAATACTTTGGGGAGACACCGCTAATATGATGCAAATATGAAGTTATGAAATGAGAACCAGCCTACAAAAATTTTCTAAATTCAATTTGTGAATCGGCGCAAATGCGTTGATACAATTTTGTAGTAGAAGGATTAAAATAAATTCGCATTAAATTTCACACTTCTATTATTTCATATCCAAGAACTATGCCTTAGCCTCGTATATATCCATTTATCTGACATATATATATATATATATATATATATACAGATATGTATATATATGTGCATAGATATATATGCGCAAGTACAAATAGGCTTAGCTCATTTATTGATTGAGAACTATTGCGATCTATCCCAAGCCCTATATTTTCTTTGTCATTTCGTTCATTTGTCCTTTTTTATGTGATTTGCTTATGTAGTCCTTCCCACTTTCGTGTGTATCTACATATTCGCCTAAATAATAACTTAAATTATCTGCGTTGTATTTCTCGTGAATGCTTAAGCAACCACAATCACTTCCTAACATTGTAATTGGTTCATGATATACTAAGGTATATAATGAGCTCAAGATGCAATTATTGCATTATAAGACTAAAATAATTCGTTTTTCAATAAAAGGGCAAAAATTTAATCCAAGTTGTAAAAGCCAAGATGGTGTGGCTTTTACACTAGTCGCGATCTTTAGTTATATAGAAATGGTTTGACCTCGTTTTCACATCTTGGTCGTATTGTAAGATATATCTAGATAAACGCACATAGTCCGGAGTCCTCTCTGCACAGATAATTTCCAACTCGATGAATGTACCAGGACAGGAGAAGAGATACCACAGCTGTTCAGCAGGCAATTGGTCAAAAGATGGACGTCACTTGTCTCTGTCGCGTTGTAGTTTGGTGCTAAGAATGACAAGGCTCACTGACGATGCCGGCTAAACGTCTAGGAATGTACCAATTACATGGTGTGATGCTGGAAATTATCATGATTTATATGGCAGAGGACTCCGGACAAAGCGAATTTATCGAGGACTCTGACAATGCTACAAAGTTGCGAAAACTAGGTCAAAGACTTATATAAAAGGATCAAAAGCCTTTTACGGGATATAGTTAGCTGAAATCAAATGGCTCTTCGAGGCCTTCTAATAATTTAATCATTAGTAACTCTGCTACCTCTTACTTCTTCACCTAAATAGATCCAAATGACAATTTTTGAAAGATTCCGAATCTAAATTTATTTTGCTTGCTGTACATACGGCAATGCTACCACCGACACTAAGTTTGCTATATTTTATTTTATACTATCACCCTCCCAGATAAAACTGGCCGAATCTTCCTACCTGGTTCGAGTAGTCTGAGTGCATTGGGCATCAGTGGTCTGCCGCCCGGATCTCGGTCATCCCTAATCGCACGCTCTGGTCTAGGCCAGCCCATAGCCTCAGCTGAGTCTGCCTCGCGGATGGCTCGACCACCAAGTGTCTGCAGTTCTAGTCAGCTGCATTCAGGTCCAGCTGGCGCAGGCTCATTCCTTTCCGGCGTCGCTGGGTCGCAAGGTGAGTCAAATGCTCCAACTGGATACGGA